TTAAGTGAGATTGTATGATTTTTTTTTTTTTTTGGTGTGCTAAAAAGAGATTGTGTGATTTGGTAGATGTGATTAAGTGGAATGGTTTTTTGAGGGATTTACACGAGTGATTGTGATTCCGATCACCAACCTCTTATACTTTCTCTTTTCAATTGTTTTATTATTATATCTTTGCTTTCCACAAAAGAGAGATTTAAATACGTAATCCAATATCCTCAAGGACGTCAACTAAGATATTCACATCAAAAATTTGTAAAAATTAAAACCAAAAAGATACATATTTGTAAAATTGGCAACAACAAAAAAAAGTTTTGATGTGTTACATTGAAAATCTTGTTCGCAATATCAGTGATGTAAAAAGTTTGTATGCGAGAGCTGTTGATTTTTTTGCGAAAATGTCTCTGCCATAACATTTTGCAAATTTTCAAGGTTTTGTAACATTTGATTATCTTCAAGTATAGTACAACTTGTGACATATGACTGGCTTAATGCCTAACCCGATAGGTCCAGTATTAATGATGATCAACTTGTGTAAATGAATGATCCAACCATTTGTGTATGACCAAATTCTATGCAAGCAAAGTAATTTATACACCATTAATAAGTAAAAAGGTCATTTTTTAAAAAAAGAATTGTTGTTACACACGAAAGATTTGTGATGTGAAAATTTCGTAAAATTTTCAGAAACTGATAAAAATGAGCCAGAGATCTTATTAAAGTGGTGAGAGCCCACCAAGTTTTAATTTGGGAGCCCACGAGTTAAGAGATTCGTGAAACATGCAGCATCTTCATTTGTGAATTATTTATTTAACCTCTCAAAAGTTAGGAAAAGTCAAATCGATTATTATCCTGACCAAAAAAAAAACATAACTATCAGTCTACCACCTACCCAGCTTTTTGGTTTTGGACCTCGTGCGTGGTCTATATAGAGGAACTACACAACAAGGACAAAGCCAAACCACACACATTGAAAAATTCTTCATTCTTTTGGTTAGCTCAAACACTTTAATTTCTTTCCAAAGGAGTGACCTGAGGTTTGTTA